ATGCTCTTGGCACTTTCATAGTCATTCTCTGACATATACAGACAGACCTGCAGAAAATTTGTGTCTCTGACATGCTGTTCTTGCATAAGGTCAAATAAGGCGATTGCTCTGCTCTCTTAGATCTCATATAGTGAACAAGTATCCTTTTTGTAATCTATTTAGTGGCACATTTTTTACATTTTTGTGCATTTTTCGTTGATGATTTCACTGTTTTAAATGGCCCCACGCTTATTGATGAAGTGCTGTCTAGTGTCCTAAGTGTAAGAAGGCTGTGATGGTTCTTTAGAGAGAAAATACCTGTGTCAGATGAGCTCTGATCAGGTTTGCTGAGTTCAGTGATAATGAATCTACAATGTATATTAAACAAGATATCTTTAAACAGAAATACGCATAAAACAAGATTATGTATTAATGAGTTGGCAAAAATGTGGCCAGAACCTTGCAGGAACCTAACTCCATGTATCTCCTGGGAATAATGGTTCAGTATTGGCTAATTCACTGTAGTGACTTTATAGAACATAACTACCAGGAATTACAAGGATTAACCATATTTCTTTTATTTGTACATTAAACAGACTAACTATGCTCTTATAAGAGTACAATTTCCTAGAAGTATCTATATTCCTCAACTTATTTTGAGTGAACAGATTATCAGCAGTGATTTTATCACAAAAATCCGTACTTACAATGAAGTATTTATTTCAAATACAAAAAAAATTCTTTTGTGTTTAGTTCTTTTTTTCAGTTTGAAACTCTGTATATTCAATGATTCCACTATGCAGCTTGATGTTTATTGGACTGAATTCCTGGCACAAATGACAGAGTACTGTATGTTTTATGATGTTATGTTTTAATGTTGAAAATCTTTATACTAAGATTTTTATTAAAACTTTAATAGAAATCTGAAAATTTTATACTTTGAAGTCAGATTTTTATTGATTCCGTTCAAAAACCTATTTTCAAGAATTTTGAAATCATGTAAGACCCCAGCATGAAACTCTATCATATTTTATATCTTTTAGAGACAGATGTTGACTCATTACTAATAATAACACAAGGATCTGTTTCATGCCATTCTTTTTTTTTTTTTAAGATTTTATTTATTTATTTGACAGAGAGAGATCACAAGTAGGCAGAGGCAGGCAGAGAGAGAGAGAAGGAAGCAGGCTCCCTGCTGAGCAGAAAGCCAGATGTGGGGCTCCATCCCAGGGTCCTGGGATCATGACCTGAGCCGAAGTCAGAGGCTTTAACCCACTGAGCCACCCAGGCGCCCCTGTTTCATGCCATTCTTATTGGCACTATCATAAGACATGCTGCAGTTTTAAAATTTTGTGGAACATAATACAGGCTTTTTGGTTTTTCAGGTTTGGGTTTATTTGGTTGATTGGTTGGTTTGGTCATCAGTATGAAAGAATGGGATTTACGAGCAAAAGAATAACCATGGCTGATCAAGTATCAATATGAACAAATGAGTTTATTCAGCAGGCATAACATCTGGACAACTGAAGTATCATTAAATTTTACCAAAGTTCTTCTCATTTTCATTTTATGAAAATAGGATCTTGTTACAACAAACAAATAGCCAATATTGTCATAGCTGTGAAATGAACTTTATATGCATTATCTCATTCAATTCAACAACCTTTTGAACTGTAGGTATTATTTAATATGCAAATGATCCCATTACATATGAAGAAACTAAATCTTAGAATAGTTGAATTCCCCAAGATCCTGTTAGTAATAACCAGTGGAGTCAGGATTTAAACTCAAGTCTGTTTGATTTCAGAGTCCACAACATTGTTCTCCCTCCATGACTTACTATACAGCTTCTGCAGTGGATGGCATGTCATTTTAAGAATTTTATCACTTTTCTGACAGTTCCACCCACATTCCACATCCCTGTTACCCTAAGGAGAATGGGGATGGAACTCTGTAAACACCCTTTCCTTTCCCCAGAGCACAATTTTTTGATATTAATCTTCCTCAAGTGGTTTACCATACTTTGTTTTTGCCCAGTATGAAGAACTGCTTTAAAGGGAAAAGGATATTCCAAAAAGGCAATTTGTGGTGTTATTCATCAGTAGGAAAATAGAAAATGCAGTTTTCTTTGTCTAAATTATGTGTATATGAACCTCAAACTTCCACCCTCCCCATCAAGGTTTTGTTGGCTTTTTTTTCCCCCCCTCCAAGAGCCAGCTGCTAGCTTTACCTCTTTCTACCTGCCGGATGCTTTCTGAATCACATTATCCAGTGCTCAACTTAAGTGATCCCCATTAAAGTCCAGAGCCTAGGGAAATCACCCTGATTCTGTGTTCCCTAGCAACATCCCTGAGAATAACAACAGCTGCTTAACAGCTGCTTAACCAGAAAGATGCTGCAGGGGAAATACACAGAAATTGATATTACATGCTTTAAATCTTGAGACTTCAAACATTATAGTTACCATGTTGTATTATTTACCTTTAGTGATACAAAAACAAAAGAGAAAACTAAATGTGATCATCAGAAAAAAAGGACAAGATATGCTGAATGACCTTAGCAAGCAAGGTGATTCTAGATATTTTCTTGCTATGATAAACAGGGAAATAACCATGATGGAAATAATATACCTTTCTTTATGATTTTGAATATTAAAATGTTATATTTGTGTCAATTAAATTATACTTATGTTGTAATATGACATGACATTGTTTAAACACTTAGCAAACTTAAAATTCCCTACAAATTTTTGTTGATATTCTTTATTTTTTCTGTTAATCATTTTTACTCTCTCTGTAATTTGCCTTTTCCATCCAGAATGTCAAATAATTGGACTCATACATTATGTAGCCTTTCCAGATCATTTTCTTTCTCTTAGTAATATCCATTTGTTTCCTCCATGTCTTTTCATGGCTTCCTAGCTCATTTCTTTTAGTTCTAAATATTTCATTGTATGGATGTACCAAGGTTTATCAATTGACCTATTGAAAGAAATCTTGGTTGCTTACAAGTTTTGTAGTTAGATTAAAGATGTTACAGACATTTGTGTAGAAATTTTTATGTGGACAAAAGTTTTCAACTTATTCGGGTAAATACTAAGGATCACAAATGCCGGATCATATGGTAAAGAAACTGCCAAACTGTTTTCCAAAATGAGTGTACCATTTTGCATTCCCACACCTTTGCCTGTATTTGGTATTGTCAGTGTTTTGGATTTCAAGCATTCTAATATATGTATAGCATTGATTATCTCATTGTTTTGATTTGAGATTGTAGAGTAATACATGATGTGGAGTGTGTTTTCATAAGCTTATTTACTACCTATATATCTTTTTTGGTGAGACATCTGTTGATCTTTTGCAAATTTTTAAGTAGGTTCTCTTATTGTTGAATTTTAAGAATTCTTTGTATATTTTAGATACTAGTCCTTTGTCAGATAAGTGTTTTGCAGATATTTTCTCTGTCTTGTCTTTTCAGTCTTTTAATATCCTATATTAAAATGCAAATTTGATTATTATAGCCTAATCACTAATTTAAGAACTGCTACCATTATTATGGTATGTATTTTAGGGATAAAAGATTATTTTTTATGGTTTCTTTGTAAAAATAAATCTCCCCACATTTAAAAACTACTAATATGTTCCTTTTCTTAGAACCCCCCCATCCCTTTATACCTTAAATTCTTGGAATTCCAAGCAGTTCACTGTGAAGAAGAGTGAAAAATTATCCTGGACTGTTTTCCTGTTCTGATCAACAAGTAACCCATTACAGTAGTCATTATCTGAATAATAGCCAATAACTCAGTAAACATACATGTGGAGCATGTCTTTTTAAATACTGAAAAAGTAATATCTTTGACAATCTCTGAATTTCCTAATTTTTAAAATTTCTAGTCACCCCTGGGTGTTTTTTATTTTCTTTCTTTTTTTGTTAGTTCTCATTATAAACATCTAATTAAAACTATTTTATAGATAGGCCATGCTATAAAATTTATTTTATGATTTTCTATGCAAATCAGTCCCCCTCCCAATTTTTAAATTACACACACACATATTAGTAGCCAACTCAGATTTATAAAACAAGAATATTTTGTTTGGAAAAGGGATCATGGAAGTACCTATATTAGTTAAAATCTCTTCCTGATTTTATGTTCCTCTATTTATTTATTTACCTAGGAAAAATTACTTATTTTAAAGCCAAGATCAAATAGAAAGTCTAGGCCAGTAGTTTCCTAACATTTGTAAACTAGCTAGTCCAGTATTTCTTAACAGATAAGTGTAGAGCCCCTCTGGTTGGAGGTCAAATGAAGTTAGAGGAGGCTGGAGTACACTCTCTTCTATCTTTTCCCAGGTACCTCTAAGGAATCTACAGGACTATATGGAGAAGAACTGGAAAATTAGACTAAATTATGATTTTTATTTAAAGTAACAACAAAACCAAATAGTCATTACTAAGCTATTTATCATGGAGTTCTAGGTGTCTAATTTATAAGGTTTCTGAATTAGACTTCAGGGCCTATGTTACATTTTATTACAGTCTACAATTTAAGTGTAGACTGGCAAGAATTAAAGGAAAAGCCTGTTTCACAGCTGTTATGCATCTGGGAGTTTGTTTAAAAGGGTCTAGCTTAGCTTAGCCTGAGTTGTGATAAAAAGCAGGGTCTAGAGGCCTTTTAACTAAAGTCCTGTGCTCTGATCAGAGCTGTATTTAATACAGGCCCGTAAGTCCACATAATTATAATTTGTAAGAGTCTTTAGGACATCAGTAACTTTTAAATCTTACCATGTGAAAAATGATTATGTCACCTGTGGACTTTAAAAGTAGTTAGCAAACTGGGATAAAAGTAATGATCAAATCAAATATTTCTGCAACTTTCTCTGTCCAAGTTTCATACTTACGATGTTCCAGCTATATTTTGTAACATACCGCTCCTTTTAATGTGCTTTAATGAGGAATGTTAATTCTAGTAAATTAATGCTTCGTGTCACAGTTAACCGTACTACATTCTGGCTTTCTCCCAGGCTTGCAGATGGGTCAGGGGCTGTGGAGAGTGGCCAGAAACCAGCAGCTACAGCAAGAAGGTTATAGTGAGCAAGGCTACCTCAGCAGAGAGCAGAGCAGGAGGATGGCTGCCAACAACATTTCTAACACCAGTCATCGTAAACAAGTCCAAGGAGGCATTGATATATATCATCTTTTGAAGGCACGGAAATCTAAAGAACAGGAAGGATTCATTAATTTGGAAATGTTGCCCCCTGAGCTAAGCTTTACCATCTTGTCCTACCTGAACGCAACTGACCTTTGCTTAGCTTCATGTGTTTGGCAGGACCTTGCGAATGATGAACTTCTCTGGCAAGGGTAAGTTCAGCCTAACGTGTTTGATTCAGATATCTCTAAACACAATCATGCTTAGATGTTTTTATTATTATTACACACACACACACACACAGACACACACACGTGTTGTGATCTATTTCTTTTTAACCTTGGTTTGTATTTTAACTTTCTCTTTATTAAAACCCAGAAAGATAATGAGGCATCATCACAGTCAAATTTGATATTGGGAAAAGAAAGACAGTATAAAGGTAAATGACTCTACAGTTAGAAGTTACAAGTGAAGAGATGTCAGTTTATTCTAAAAATACAAGTTGTTGAGGTGCCTGCCAGCCTCAGTCGGTAGAGCATGCATCTAACTCTTGATCTCAGGGCTGTAAGTTCTAGCTGCACATTGGATGTAGAGATTACTTAAAAAAATAATAAAATATCTAAAAAAGAATACAAGTTAAGTGAGAATTTATAATCCAAAATTTAGTGTTCACACCCCTGGTATAGTTTGTGCTTCCCATATGAAGATTGTGTGTTTACTAATTTACATCCTTCTTTCTATCACAGAGGTGCTTGTTAATATAAACTGTGATAACTATTTCATCAAGTTTTTATTTTTTCTAACCAACATTTCATCAATGGAGTAGGAAAATAGCAGAATGCAAGGAGATACTCTGCTTGCTGAAGTGAAAGTGGACTGTAGAAATTATAGCAGCGATTATATCAGTTTAAATTTAACCTATAAATTTAAGAATGTTTGAAATAGAATCTATTTTATGTATAACTTCAGTCTTCAGTTACTCCTTAAATAGCATCATATACTTGAGTCATAAATATGTTACCAAACTTAGAAGAGTCTTTGGGATCTTCAACTTCTGGTGTCTAAGGTTTATTAATATCATTATTTCTAGTTATTTAAAACATGTCTAAAAACAAAGGTCTTTTTGTGACTTTAAATAATTTCTAAATGAAAATCTAATTGAGAGAATTAGTAAATTATCCAAATAACCAAACTTTAGTAAAAATGTATTACCAATAATGACATTTCTAACTCTGGGCTTTCTGATGCTACAGAATTACAGTATTAATTATATAGTTAATTTCTCAACCTCTAAATAGATAAAAATCATAAGTGTCATCCTGTTACTCTCATTGTCTTGTTATAGTGAAGGTACTGTGAAAATACTATTATTAGTAGTGTTTATGGTTATTAATTTCTTACTCAGTAAAAGAAGTAAAAATACTTCTAAACTGGCTCATTAATTATTAAAAATTTCTGCATCTTAGTATTTCCAGGAAACTTAATTCGTAATCCTATATTTGAACTCTGAAGAAAAAGTTTATTTCTAAGCTTATCTGAACCCAATCAGAATGTCCTCTTTACCTGAGATTTAATTCTGGATGTTCATTTCTGAAAGAAATGCTTCCTTTATTTTTACCACATAATTATGCCTATTTTTATGACACTTGCTTTTTTTTTTCTTAGTGGTAAAGTGCTTCTATTTTAAAGTCCAGCTTAGTTTTTATTTTAACTTTAGATGTGTGAAACATTTATTAATGTTGAGAGGTTCTATTTTCACATCACTCAGTAATAAAAGTCAAAAGCTATAGGACTAAAGCTTCTGCTAAAATATTGACAATTTTCTAAACAAGTTCCTAAACTCACTAAAACTCACTAAACTCAAACGAAATCAGGGATTTCATTTGGTTGGTAAAAATAATGCAAGGATATAAATAACTATTAAGATATTCTCATTAAATTACATATTTTACCCACTATGCTCACAATTTTTGATGTTACAGTCTGAGACAGTAACTTTTTCTTGCTGCCCTACACATTGTATGTGTGTGACATGAAATTTGAGTCAAAAATCAATAATGATTATCAGAAAATGATAACTATTTTTAATATCACTACAAGTAAGTGTTTTGAACACACAAAACATCAGAAAATTTTGAGATAGTGTCATTAAAAGTGTACTAAAATATAATTGCAGTATTCTCTATATCTCTAGAGTAATGTACTTTTAAGATTTAATGATCTATAGTCTAATGATCCAGAATTTCTAGGCACTGTAATAAGATAAAATGAGACAAAACTTAAGCATTCAAATAATAACCAGTAGCTAATGGCTTTGTATAGAGTTGGACACAACTATCCCAAACTGCAAAAATAGTATGTTTTGCTATAAACTATTAGCATTTTAGGTTTCCTAGAATTTTTAAACAATCATGTATCACTGTGATGTTAAAACAAACAAACAAACAAACAAACAAAAACGTGTTCTGAAGCAGCATCTTAAAAGCAAGTACGCTTAATGTCATACCCAGCTTTTGATGTATGTACTAAAGTTAATAGCATTGTAATTTCTATGTTTATTTTGCCTGTTATCAATATATATATTGTTAAAAAACAACAACAACAAAGTTCTCCCCCCAACCTAACAATCTTTACCCTCATTCAACTTTACTTTGCAATAGATCATAGTAACTTAAACCTATTTAGCCTCTTGGTTAAGATTTCTAGCTCTGGAGTAAACTTCTTGGGTTCAGGTCAACTTTTTTATCTTTCATTCTTATCTTTAGCACCAATATCATAACATTGTTGTAAAGATTAAGCAAGTTAATACTCGTATAATGTTTTAAATAGTGCCTGACATCTAGTAAGCACTGGGTAAATGTTTTAAATAAATAGCTATCGTTGCTATTATTAGTAGTAGTTTCTATTTAATTTCAAATAGTACTCATGAATATTATTATCTTTAACTCATGTTTATTAAGTACTATCAGAATTCCTAAACTGAAGGCATTTGTCAATCATACTCTAGTAAACAAATAAAAAACAAGTACAGAATTAAACATTCACAACTTTCGAGCTATAAATTTCATGTTACTATTTTATCATGTGTATACATGTTTAACTTAGGAAATTAAATATAGTAATGTTTTCTTGTCTGATTTTATCCTTTACAGGTTGTGTAAATCCACTTGGGGTCACTGTTCCATATATAATAAGAACCCACCTCTAGGATTTTCTTTCAGAAAATTGTATATGCAGCTGGATGAAGGCAGCCTTACCTTTAATGCTAACCCAGAGGAGGTAAGTGAAGAACTTGAGTATTTGGAAGAGTTGAACTTTATTATGATCTTACTGCAGCTTTCCAATATAATAAACTTGCAAGTAAAGTAACAGGTCATTGAATATTCCTGTTCAATGAGGAAATGACTGAGAAGCCCACTAAGTAAAGTTAATGCTATGTAACATAGTCATTTCTCTTTACCTTACCAACTCACATTTTAAATCGTTCTACCTGCTCATGTTGTGTGGCAGCTTCCGTGACATATATGCAGTCCTCTGCTGGACCTGATTACAATATGACTGCATTATATGTGGAGAGCACAGAATATGTTCATCAGATTTTATCTGCAGCATTTGCTTCCTGTTTTATTTTTCTATTTAGTAGCGAGGCTATTTTTATCAGAGATAATCACAAAGGACATTGTTCATTGGTGACACATCAAAATGTTGTCTTCTTAATGCCTTTAACAGTCCCTATTGCCATAGAAACTGCTTATAGATTGCCATAAAATCGAATAATTTTATCAAAATATCAAAATATGAAGACCATGCTTTCACTGATTTTTTCCCCTCCATTCTTGCTTTAATATATATCCTGGAAAGTACAGATTCTCAGAAATGCTGTTTTTTTTTTTTCCTCAGAAATGTTTAAATGTCTACTAGGCTTATTTTTAGAAATCTAACAAATTATACAGCCCTCAGAACTACTACTTATAGTTGAATTATTTTCTGTGGAAAAATTTAAGTGGCAGTTATTTTGATTTAATTTTCAAAAACCAACTTTTTTTCATTTGTTGTAGAGGTATTAAAGGACTATTTAAATTATGCAAATATATCAAATATATGCATGCATATACAAATGTATGCATACATATGCAAAATATATCAAATTTTTAAAAATATCTTAACTTTAGCTATAATTAAAAACCTGTTTCCCCCATGTAAAATATTTGAATATTATACAAATACTGATTTTATAAATATACATATAATACAAATGACATTTTAAAAATTGATTTTTACCTATTACATATGATTTCTTAACTTCTTACATACAAATAAAAAATATAACACCATTGCAAAGCTTTACTGAAACACCATCCATTATCAGTTACGTCTTAGCACCACAAATATAAAAATCTATATATATAGAGCCTAATATACATATTTAAATTAAGAAATCTGTTTTCTCACTACTGTTTAAGAGTTTTGACATTCAGATTGAATAGAGGACTGATAGTTAATTTAGAAGGCAAATGAATAAACTGTCATAAATTTAGGTTTTATAACTTATCCCTTGATTGTAAATTTTTTTCTGCTGCATTTCATCATAAAAGACACTTGTTTTTACTTTATTTTTTGTCAAATCCAAGTTCTGTTCCTTCTAAATATGTAGCAACAGTGAGCATGTCACTTTTTGATCTTGCACTATGGCATAGCTACTCTGTACAAGATATTCTTCTACTTAACGTATTTGAAGAATGATATGGTTTCAAAGACTTCGTTATTCTGTTTGCTAGCATTTGACATTACTTGCAGCTAGTTAAAACAGTTCATATGACGAACTTTATAATAAGATACATATATTGTATCACTCTCTTAAGTTATAGTGAAATGATGATTACTGGAGAATCTTGGCAGAATAGTACAGTATTTTACTTTAGATATGTAAGGAAAGGCAGCTGTTGCAAGCTCCAGTCTTATTATGCCCAATTTATTAAGGCATTCTGGTTCCTGTCATGAATTATACTGATAATGAGTAAAACTGTCATCTTTAATTCATATCACTTGCAATGTTACATTCTAAGGAAAGTAATAACTTGGTACATTCTAAGGAAAGTATAACTTGGTAAGTACTGGTATATTTACAAAGTCAGAAAAGTTGGATGTAACTGCTGGTATTAATTATGGTAAGTAGTCATTTCTTGCTAAAGCAGTACCAATTTTTAAAACAAATTATAAAGCCATCATTTTTATGCAAAGATGAAACCATAGATAGACCCTCATTTACTAGAATATGGTATGGATAGTTTTAAATCTCTAAGTTGGAAAAGCTAGATGTCAAAATATGTTTCCATCTTTGCAGCTACACATATCAGATTATAGAATTCTTGTTATACCTCCTCTACTGTGTTTGGGGGAGTGGACAGAGAAGAAAGGTAAAATTAAAAGACCTCTTTTTATCTAACAAAACTTTTTAAAGTTTTTTTAAGTCAAATGTTTGCTAAGAGAGGGGATTGAAATTATTAATTAAAATAAGATTTTTAGGGGCACCTGGGTGGCTCAGTGGGTTAAAGCCTCTGCCTTCGGCTCAGGTCATGGTCTCAGGGTCCTGGGATCGAGCCCCGCATCGGGTTCTCTCTGCTCAGCAGGGAGCCTGCTTCCCCCTCTCTCTCTGCCTGCCTCTCTGCCTACTTGTGATCTCTCTCTGTCAAATAAATAAAATCTTTAAAATAAATAAAATAAAATAAGATTTTTAGATATTCAGATTTTACTTAACCATCCTACCTTCCATTGTTATTGAGAGTTGGCTGTATTTTCTTTCTCTTCACTCCCTTGCTTGACTTAAAGATATTCTGGAGCATTCCAGAAAATTGAATTCAGTCTCTGAAAGGGGCTCTCAAGAGGCATAGAGCTGAACCTTTCAGAGTGACTTGTGGTTCCAGAATTCTGATTCTATTCTTTTATGAACATCAGTAGCTTAGCAGGTCCTGATGACAAAATAGAATCCTATCTTTAGCAGAAGGCACCTAGGTTATAAATAGGCAAAGAAGGACATTGAGGTAAATACACTTGTAGATGCAGAGAAATGAGGGAAAGTACTTTAACGACTATATTCTATACTTTACTTTGTTGACAAACATAAATAGTATCACTTGGTTGTTTATCCAAGTCAAGACTTCAGAATTAAAACCATGTAATTAAAAGAGTTATCCTAATGGATGTTTTTATATAGAACTTAATCTGTATGACTCATACTTTAGCCAGGTCTTAGAATGACTCTTGCCAAGTTTTTTGAGTGCTAGAAATCAGGAAGTACTTTTTATTTGGAGGTTAATATTTTTCCCCTCTAATTGGAGCAGTATTGTCAGATGTGTTATTTTGGGTTCATTTAAGCCTGAGAATTAAATTAGTTTTGATGATATGTGTAAATATAAGTGTTTATTGCAAGTACCTGAGGTAAGATGTGTATAATTGTTCAGTATTATAAAAAGTCTACTTTTCCATAATTTCTAGTTCTGTACTTATCATTTTGATAGCAAGCATCATTAAAGTATTATAAAAATAAGAATACTTACAGCCACAGGGAACAAGATTCTCCAAAGGACATCGTTCATGTCACGGATATGGGTAACCAAACTCCACAGCAACTGCTGGCAGTGGCTCATGGGGTGGGGGAGAACATCCGCCCAGTTTGTGGTACGATTATCTAGCACGCTGTTGTTATCTGCATGACCTGTGATCTCAGCTGTATGTAAAGTCTTGATCTTGTGCATGAGCTTGTGTACTTTGTGGCAGGTGACCACATTCTAGTAGAGGAATGTGCTAAACACCATCTGTTTACATTAGGCTATATTTCCCCTGCATGTACAAGTTACGTGTGTTGATTTTATTTTGCTAACAGTATTATAATAAAATAATTTATCCTCTCAACCAATTAGCTATATTCCTTGAGCTCCATTTGGTATGAAACATCTTTCTTGACCTAGTTATTTTTAAATTTCAAGTCTGGAAAAATTGGGGAGCAAATATGGTTTAATTTCAATACATTATAGGTTTTACTTTTGTTTGTGTAAATATGTTTAAATTTTTTTTAAAATAATATTCTCAGGAGACCTGGGTGGCTAAGTCAGTTGAGCATTGGACTCTTGGTTTTAGCTCAGGTCACGATCTCAGGCTCTGTGGGATCGAGCCCCTCAATGGGAGTCTGCTGGAGAGTCTTCCTCTGCCCCACCACCAACCACGCTCACATACTCTCTCTCTCTCAAATAAATAAATACATCTTAAAAAAAAATAATATTCCCATTGGGATCAGTTAAAAAGTCTTAACTATTATATAAGCACAGTTTTCTTGCCTTCATAGAGGAAGACCCACATGCATGCATATAATTTTCTGCATAATTATTAGATTGATCTGGATTAGAATCTGTTACGAGAAATATTTTAAATTGAACCTGTGTGTATATTTTAGGTGGAAATGCATATGCAATTTATTTTCATGATAATGTATTCTTTTTGTTGTTGGACCAGCTAAAATATAAATGGGAAATTTGTAGTTTTCCATTTTAAAAAAGAACTCAGGAGTTTATACTCAGATATTAAATCTCACTAACTTTTTGCTCCAGTATACAACAGCAAAATGTTTATTACCATTACTTCATAGCATAGCAACAGTAATAAAAAATAACTTTTATTTTTATTCCTAGACATAGAAAGCCCTGATTGGTATCATCAGAATGTACAGATAAGCATTTTCCAAATGTATTCTTTTGAATAATTATTCCACAGGTTAAAGAACATAGTCAAAGGAGTTCCCAAATCTAATAAATTTGACCATGATAGGTTATGATTAGCTGGCTTATTTAATGAATAACTTTTCCAAGTCTTTAATACATTGGTGCACATTGTGAGTATGTGTTATATGTAGTAGTATCCAAATTTATTTGACATATTGTTAAATTTATTTGACAGTATCTTTTTCTTGTTTTTTCCCTTTGGTAAAGTAACATTCCAGGGGACACATTCTGCGATATGCTAGTATAGATTATCTGTATCTTACTATGTGTAAATAAATATATGTTCCTAAATGGATAGCCACCTAGCTTGAATACCCTCTTGTTCACTGACAGTTATCTGATGCCTATGTTACGGGTAATCTTTTTTCTTTTGAAAGTCTATGAATTTATGTTTGTTCTCTCTCCTTTTGTCTGATAGTATTATAAAAAAAAATTAAAACTGAGAGTTGTGCCCTGAAAGACTGAGAGATTTATCTATGTTCTGTATTTTGATTGTCATCTAAT